CCTAAATCTACAACTTACACTAAGTGTCCTCCAAGTGAAAAGTAGTACAGCCCAAGCTGAGCCAGCAGTTTCTAGCCGGCCGAACATTGATTCAACTAACGGTTCTCTGTTCTCTTTTGTTTACACTAGATCGTCACAGCGAGTCCAGTTAATCAACGGATCGGCCTTCAGACGACACCACACCACCGGTCAGTGAATAGGAAAAAGCAATCATCAAAGAAGCGAAACACCATTCACTTGGTTCCCATTTGAGGGTCCATTGAAAATTGAAAACTTTTGTAACTGAAAAATGTTGCAACAAAAGTTATTGAAGAAACTGATGCTGACAGTAGTCGTTTTTAGAAAATTGATGCCTTATCATATGCTAACGCAAATAACTCAGGTCCAAAAATGAAAATTCAAAACTTGAAGTCAAAAGGTGATATTCAGAACTTGGTGAGGACTAGCTCAAAGCAGTCACTCCTTTTGGTTATCATTGAAGTTGGCTCCCTTATCTGCTGGCCCCATGCTGCATATCTTTGGTTAAAGATTTGTTTGGCAATGGTGCCAAATAATTTCATCTATAAACGATCAAAAGTCTGCCTTGTTATTTCTTCCATTTTTTGTCCTTTTTATACCCTCTCCACACGGAAATTTCTCTCCTTCGTTTGCCATTGAAGAACAACGGTTTAGAATTTGTCCCAAGCCTCAAAACGAGATGTGCTCCAGACAGCGCACTGGCAGTGTACTTGCCACCGATCCTCATTCAATTCAACACCTGGCCATTGGCCGAATAAATGCTCTCAAAGGTGGTCTCAGCCGCGTCTGCCGCCGCAGTGTCGGTCATGTTTTGTGTGTTGGAAGCAATAACAATAAAGTCATTGCCAATGAGCAGTACGTCTGTCTAATCAGGTCTTGCTGCCAGCTACACAAATTGCTTTATGCCACAGTCGAAAGGTAGCACAAGTTGGGCTCCATTTAGTGCACTCTCATTCATTATTGACGAGATTGAGGTACTGCTGCTGCTGCTGCTGCTGCTGCCTACTTTTCAATTGTACTTTCTTCCTCTCCCCTCAACTGGTCGTTGCTTCGGTAGAGTAGGAGGCATCGGTTTCCGTCATGTTTGCCTTAACAGTTTCTCATTACTGCTTTACTTTTTCTGCATTTGGCGCCTTTTCAATTATTTATCACAGGCAAATGAGTGTGCGGCACTTTTTGTGTTTTATTCAGCCACCTTTGCTACTGTGTTTCCTGACTCNACTGCTTTACTTTTTCTGCATTTGGTGCCTTTTCAATTATTTATCACAGGCAAATGAGTGTGCGGCACTTTTTGTGTTTTATTCAGCCACCCTTGCTACTGTGTTTCCTGACTCCCCCCCCTCCCAAATGAGAATCACTTTGGTGCGACTGATCAGTAGACATGCGACACCATCAAACCGCCCAAACTGCGTTCTATTGCGCAATGTTTGCGTCACCTAATGATATTTTGCCCCCTTTTTGCAAAAGTCATTCTGGCTTTTGTCTGAACGCCACTCTACCTTTTGTTGTNTCATATATTGCGTTCTATTGCGCAATGTTTGCGTCACCTAATGATATTTTACCCCCTTTCTGCAAAAGTCATTCTGGCTTTTGTCTGAACGCCACTCTACCTTTTGTTTTTAGTATTATCAATTATTGAGAAACGTGCTAAAATGACTTTTACATCATAAGAAATTAAACAAATGGCTGGTGGATGTCTGTGAACGTGTGTCCGTGTGTGTGTGTTTGTTAGACAGCAGCTTATCGTGCGTACACTTGCAGTAAACAGTAAGTGCAACTGTCTTCGTATAACTGTAACGATGACTAGAGTGATGTAGGTGAGAGAGAGGATGATTGAAAGAGTGGTGCCTGCAGAAGAATCTTCAAAGTTCAAAGTTCAGCCCATGATCCTCTGTTCTGTTCAGTTACTCCAGTATGTTAGAAACAGTTGGAATGTATGTTACAATAAAAGTCTGAGCACATTTCTTATAAAACTAAGATGTAAAATGGGCAGGAGCTGTGTTCGAATTAGTTACTGGAATAATACTTTGTTAGAAAAAAAGAGACAGTTATTGGAAGAAGCCTCACAGATACACCGTTGAATGTCTGTAGAATGTTAATGATAACAGTCGTTTGTGCTGGTATTTTAAACAAAATAGTCATTGTAAAGGTGTTTAACAGTTTGCTTTACCGAAAGTACATTAAATTTGTTTGAAAGTGTTCAGAATCTGTACATCAACAATTATTTTCTTGTTTATCCTGCCTGAAGTTGATATTCAAACATTATCATCATGGTAGAACCACTTGGTCTTCTTGGGATTTTTAGAGCAGGTTCGCACGTAAAACGCGTTGTCAGGTGGTCGCTTTTTTTCTTTGCAACTAGCTAACATTGAAAGAATGCTAAGGCACACAGACTGGACGGACAAAGCGGGAGACCAGTCTTCGGTGAGGATTGAAAGACAAATGTGTCCATTGCTGTACACGTGCTCGTGAATCTGTAATGAATAACAAAAATAAATAAATGCTTTGGCAAGATACAAAAATACTTACCGGAATGTTTGAGCCAGTAAATGTGACTTCGGGGGAATCAAAAGGGTAATTTTCACTAGTAAATAGAAAAACACATTTAAACAAAGTCGCAAAGGCAAGAGAACAAGGGAAAACATACTTGAACTTAAATGACAGCTTAAAACGTTCTTCCTCATAAAGAGTGCCTTTCGGACAAACAATTTCAATAATCCAGCTGAAGAATTTAGAAAATGTTTTATTATAATCGTTAGACAAAATCTAAAATAGTTACCTGGACAAGTCTGGTTCTATGTTCATATCGTCGACTATGACACCCGCAGGTGGGTCCTTTTTAAGGGACATAAGCTCTTTTTGAAGTCTCTTCTAAAAAAGCGAAAAACATAAAATTATGGTCTTCTAATCAACAATCAAATCAAAACCCTTACCTGCATTTGCGACATGACGAGCAAATTGGTCGTGCAACGCAGTTGTCGAGACGGCTCTATAAAGTACCCAAAGTGACGATTCGAATACTCGAGAGTCAATTGACAAAAGTTGCTTGCTACCAATGCAAGTTTTGGCTATCAAGGCTGATGACGTAGACTATTCAAATAGAGCGCATAGCAGACTGAATGCGAAAAACTAAAAGTCCTTTTCTGGATCTTTATCACCAAGCAGTTGGTTACTTTGATCGACCACCACAAATGCTGACAGAACAATTACATCAAAACATCGTCGACGATCGATAAGGGGGTGAATGGACAGCTAGTGATCACAAGTGGAGCAACCGCCGGTTCACCTTGGTAGCTTATCACCAAATTGGAACGTCTGGCAGAATGTCACCGACAACTGGTGTTGACAGAGCAGAGGCAGATTGAAAGACGCTGGAGATGATGTGCAGACTGCAAGCAGCTGTAGATGTAAACACAACTCGATCAACGAAACAAAATGCAAAACCAAAGTTAGCAGTGATGGCGCCACCAGGTGGTGAAGAATTGTAAACAGACTTTGATTTCTCCAAGTGCATCACCAGAAAGTGCAATTTATTGAGACCTAGCGGTGCATTGTAATCATACATTGGGGAAGTCTGAATCTAAGTGTAAACACAGCGCAGATCAAGATCTCTCGCTGATTTAATACCCCGAGCTTGGCGAAACGCTTTTTATTGCTTCTTTATGATGACTGAAAAGGCAATCGATAACTTCGTCTTTGTAACTTAACTCTTGTGTATTGGGTTAAACGCTAATCAAGCTCCCTTGCAGTTGGCTCGGTCAAATCACTAAAGGAACAGACAGAGAGTTGTTGGCTGATAGTCGGCAATGTGAATGGCGTCAATTTCAGTAAATTGTCGCGAACGCCAGCAACAAAGAAATCACCAGACAAGAGTGAAGAGGAGTCTGCCACCAATCGACCAGCTGGTAGTAGCAGCACTTATCGAGTGTGAGCTACTTATCAATGGCGATATATACTGGTTGCGATGTCTTTGCCGTTCTAATCAACCAATTTCTCTCTCTTCGAGTCCATCTGAAATCACCGTTGGCGATGTCACGATGTCCCAGGGCGTGCATAGTGCAAACTGCAGTAGATGCACAGAGCACATCCCCTTTGGGCCACACCTCCCCTACTGGCAACAACAGACCAACTGGCAACCAGCCATTGACTGACTGCCTAGCACCGCAAGCACTCGTATCTCTTCTTATATTGCCCACCGCCTTATCGTCTGTCTGATTGTTCACAGTTAGGCAAACAGAAGTCGACCATTGTCCGGACAGGCATACAACACTGCCTGGTCGAAGCAGCAACAAGTGACACCGAGTCCACCAGAAGTGCTCAAATTGCAGTTGACTTTCTTTGTCCATTCTGGCTGGTAATACAATACACACACACACACACACGCAGCCAGACAAACACAATACCACTGCCATCACTTTTCTCCACTCTGTTCGGGTTTTTCTTCATTTAAGGTAAGATACCGATAATGTCAACTGCTAATCGGGATGCACAACGCACTTTGAGGGCTAATCCTCAGAGATGTGATGGCCATCNACTTTTCTCCACTCTGTTCGGGTTTTTCTTCATTTGAGGTAAGATACCGATAATGTCAACTGCTAATCGGGATGCACAACGCACTTTGAGGGCTAATCCTCAGAGATGTGATGGCCATCTAAATGCGAATTGCCTTTCTTTTAATCACACGGTCTAATCATCTCACTACCGTTGTCATGCCGACTTGACTTGCTTCCATGTCGCTGTCACAAGCATCCCTCTGCCAATTAGCCTCTCAAATGCAAAGAGGTTTTTTAGACAACAGGACTAATTTCTAATAATGCACTTACATTTTTTCAGTTGATCTCCTGTTGTTGTGCTGTGGTCAACTAAACTCAACTATGGCCTCGTCTAGCTTTTTAGAAAGAAAGCTACAAGGTCTGAACTGCATGAAAACCAGCAAGCGCATGTACGGATCATTGGACAGCGTCGACAGTGCAGTTTCAGTGCCAAAGCCAATTAAAAAGAAGAAGAAGAAGCAGTTTAACATTTTCCGCGGATTAGGAAAAACTTCAAATGATAACAACAAGTCAGAGGCGTTTTCAGTTTCTTATGATCGAATTCGTGAAGAGGAGGAAGGGGTTGACGAAGGTACTCGCCTCTTAACTGAAAGCCTACCAGTGACTTCTAAGAAAAAGTACAGCAGCATCCTTGGCGGAGAAGCTGAAAAACAGTCTAAAAACGTTCGCTTCTGGGGCGTTGAGGCACCGAAGGAGGGTGGCACAAAGAAGAACAAGAAGAAGAGTTTCCTCAAGAGAACGGGTAAAATGATCGTCCGAACCTGTCGCCTCATGTCCTACGGAACCCCTTACATGACTCACATGTCAGCGGACTTTCCCTACAACAGTCGCTATCCACCTGATTATCGCTACTATGATTTTGAAACCAAACAATGGGACTATGGATACAGTAACAACTACATGGGCACCACTGGCCTCAGTCCATCGGTTTTCTTCTAAAAATTTCTTTTACATTTTATGTGCCAAATTCCTGCTTTTCAGATGATACAGCTATCCCTTTATATTGTATGTGAATATTTAAAACTCAGTTTGCCTAACCTTTTCATAGACAACAGATTAGACCATACATTGTCAACTGAATCATAATCATAATTCCTAGACGACAGCTTCTCTCATCCACTTAACACACAGTCCATACCCTTTCTTAATTGCACCACTTTTACACTGAATTTTGTGATTGATTCTTCTGATAATTTTTATTTTTATAAAACTACAGTTTTTACAGTTGAAGTCTTTACAGCCAGAGGTATTGTTAAAAAAGAGCAATGCCCAAAATAAGTCANATAAAACTACAGTTTTTACAGTTGAAGTCTTTACAGCCAGAGGTATTGTTAAAAAAGAGCAATGCCCAAAATAAGTCATTTTTGGGTCTAAATTGAGCAG